GCGCGCCAGACCAAAATATATAGCGTGCATTTTCACGGAGTTCGGCCATTTTCTCGCTGTACTCCTACTGCAAATCACACGCTATTAGGACAAAACTCGACGTGTTTAGTCTCTACTTCTGTTTTGATTCATTTACATATATCAATTTTAACTTTAAAATTACCCTACCTTTTTTGTTAAGTGAACAAACCTCCGTTTTAGGTAAAGTTTTCAAGTTTATTTTTCTCGAGTGCTAAATAAACAAATCGCTGTTTACAAAGATACCAGCTTTGTCGACGTGTTTTTAGCTGAGATTGACCTGTCGCTTATATTGTTCTTTAATTTACAATCTATCCTCCTGGCATAACTTTAGAGTAAATTACATGTAACTATAAATGTTGTTGTAAATATATGAGCGTGAGCTAAATAAAATCTTTGCACACATAAAATATTCGAAACATGTAGTTGTCGCAAGAAAATACTCGCTTGTGCATGAACCTCGTGTATATACATTCGGTGTTTTGCTCGGTTGCTTTCAATAGATTTCTACCACTGTCACTGTAATTAAAATAGCTTGTTTGTGTAGTCCACCTGTTTAGATACATTTTCAAATCAACTCTAAGTTCTCACAACCTGTTTGCTGGATAACGAGTAGACATTTCGAAAGAGAAGTATAATCATTTGCCTCACAATGCGGACACTGCAGATGAGGATTACGACGTTTCAACTGCACACTGCTAATCTTCTTCAGGCGATAAGGTCAATTGAGTATGCTCCACCCATAAACTGTTGTGCTCAGCTGTGACTGGATGGAATTCCACGACTGTGTTTGGTGGATCTTTGGATCAGGTTCGCTCAGCGGGCGGTGTCCGGTATCGTGGGTATGCTCTAAAACGGCCGATGCAGGGAGAAGTTACAAGTTAATCACTTCTGAGAGTTAAATATAAATCATACTTGAATCTAGGGCGTTGAGACATAATGTAATACTACGCAATTAACTCATGTTGCAAATGAACCATCTGAAAAGTTAACTTTCTTTTTAATTTTCAGGAGCTAGCAGGCAACAATAATTTTCTTGGCTTTTGGTCAAATATCTTAGATCCTCCGATCAGAACACAGTTAATAAGAATTTATCCCAAGAATCTAACGACGTTGTATTGCACCCTTCCTAAGTACTACTACCTTAGACTGGAGCTGTATGGATGTTCCGTTCCAGGTATGATTTAGAGATACGCTTATTGGCAACTTTTCAACGTTTGAAATAATTAAAAAATATATTTTCTTTAATCAATAAATGCCTCACGCTACGGTTGCAGGGCAATAGGCTGCCATGCTAACCCAGTTAATTACGTCTGTTTGCGACGCTGAGAGACCTGGTTGAGAAAAATATATAGTTACCAGAATGCAGGC